TTTCCCTACCTCCAGGTAGGCCTCCCTGTTTTGGTTCATTTTAGTCTGAAAATCTTTTTATTTTATTTTTAAAAAGAATTGGGACCAGCAGATGGCATAATGGTTATGTCGCTGGACTCTCATGTAGTCAACCGGCCTAGTGACTTAAACCTTATACAGGTTGCATGTGTGTGCATGCGTGCCCTGAGAGGAGAATGGAGGAGAAGGGATTGTGGCATGGCCATCTCCCTGGGGGGGAGTGATTTCTCGCTTTTCGTCTCTCTGTCTCTCCAGTGTGTGCACGTACCCTATAGCAAAAAATCTCTCTAAAAAAATAAAAAATAATAATTATTTAATTTTATTTATTATTGTTATAAGTTTTTTAACTTTGTGATAGGGTATGTATGCTCAGAGAGAGAGCAGGGGTGGGGAGTGAGAAAGCAAACTGCCAGATTTGGGGCTTGAACTGCTGTCATCCAAGTGGGAGTCCAGCATCTCAACCATCATGTTGCCTGCTGGCCCTGGTCTGAGAATCCTATCTTTTCCAACTTATGACTCAGATAAACTCCCACTTAGGAAGAGTCCTACTTAGGTGAGACCCCCCTCCCTGTACAGGAGGGGTGGGACTTTGCTTTTACAAGCCTATCAGTGTGACCATACTCAGTGTAGGACGTAGCAGGAATTACATTGTCTACTACAACGATGGAGCCCACTGCCCCTTTATGTCCCGTCTCTCGGGTGCTGGGGGTCCCACTCAGTGTTTTATGTACATTATCTCACTCCATCCTCACCTTCAACCTTATGGAGGAGGTCTGCAAATGTAGAGACAGAGAGTTTGTATAACCTTTCAGTTTGTTGAGGATTCAAACCGGATCTGTTTGGACTGTCATACCTGTTTCCCACTCCACCTTGACCACAAGGAGCTGCTCATCTTGCCAACCAGATAGTTGAATCCATGATCAGTCAAACTGTCATCAGATAGGAATGCATTTAGTAATAATCCTGTGGTTTGATGCTGCATCTTGCTGAAAGCAGAGGTTTGACCATGTTTGCACGTAAGGAAAGCCCTGTGTCATCTTGCTGTGTCCACCGTACGTTCACCCAGCTGTCTTGCTTTTCTGTTGGTCTCTGCCATTCCAGACATCCTTGTTTGGAGAGGGGACCTACCTCACTAGTGACTTGAGCCTGGCCCTTATCTACAGCCCGCATGGCCTCGGGTGGCAGCACAGCCTTCTTGGCCCCATCCTTAGCTGCGTGGCTGTGTGCGAGGTCATTGACCATCCAGACGTCAAGTGCCAAGCCAAGAAGAAGGGTGAGTGGGCCCATGGGCCAGACCTGGGCCAGGGGCCTCTGTTGGGTGGACAGGCTCCTGTTTTGGTGCAGCTGTTGGGTGTAGCACCTCTTGCATGCCAGGGGAGGGGCTGGATCCAGAGCATGCAGGAAAGGGACCTGCCTTCAAGGAGGAGCAGTCTTCTCGGGGATCGAACACACAGTGGAAAAGGCTGCTTACCACAGGAGTGGTGAGGGCCATGGGAGTGAAAGTGGGCAGGTCAGAGGAAGGAGCAGTCATGGTGGGTCCATGTTGTCAGGGAAAGCTTTGTAGAGGGGGAGGCCAGAATGTGGGCTCCTCAAGGGCTAGAACTAGGTCTTTTTTCATTTTTATAGTCTTTTTTTGTTGTTCATCTTAGAGTATAAGTGCTTGCCAGAGAGAGAGAGAGACTGACACCATGAGAGGGAAAGTTAGAAATCAACCACCAGGGAGTATGGCCATGCCACAATCTCTTCTCCTCCAGGGATCTTGGGCATGCATGAACACGTACCCGGTGTGATTTTGAAGCCACCAGGTCCGGGACTCGAACCTTAGTTGGCCATGTGGGAGTCTAGTGACATAACACTATGCCACCTGCTGTTTCCTATCTTTATATCCTAATAGCTAGAGAGTGCGCCTGCTGTTTCCTATCTTTATATCCTAATAGCCAGGGAGTGCATGCAGTCACCAGAGAGAGAGGGAGAGACAGAAAGGGGGAGGGTGAATGCACCCTTCCTAATGGGACACAGTCACGCTACAATCCTTTCTCTTCCATTTCTCTATCCTGTTGGGATTTAGGCCAAGCCACTGGGGCCAGGATCTGGACCATGGTTGGCCATGTGAGATCTGGTTCCTTAACCAGTAGACTATAGGGCTGGCCCCAGAACTAGGCCTCGCTCATTCTTGGGCACGTGGTGTCAGCAGGTACAATTTGACAGTCAATAAATATTTGCTAAACTGAAGCAAGGACGCGGGTCCAGGTGCTCCCAGCTGCTTTGGTTCATGCTGGAGCCCCTGGAGGATATGTAGGGAGCCGAGGCCATGGGAAGTAAATCCTGGGCTCTGTAGAGCCGATGTGGACCTGGCTGCCTCTTCTACGCTCTCCAAAGTGTCCTTTAGCCTGTTTGCTCCATGTCCCCGACCATGTTGCCGTCTTCAGAAGAGTCCTGTGACTGTCAGTACGGTCTCCAGAACTAACCTGTTTGTTTCACTGAAAAAAAGGAGAATTCTGAAAATGGATTGCTCTGGGGATGAGCAGTTGGCGTAATGGCTATGTCACTGGACTCCTATGTAATCAATTGTGGTTCAAGTCCCGAACCCGGTGGCTTAAACTCACGCCAGGTGTGTGTGCGTGTGTGCTCAAGATCCTGAGAGGAAAGGGGAGGAGAAGGGATTGCATCCCCCAGGGGGTGATTTCTCGCTTTCTATCTCTCTGTCTGTCTCTGTCTGTCTGGCGAGTGCATGCTCCCTATAGCAAAAACCTCTCCAAAAAAAAAAAAAGGGAA